AGCCCATTTCTCATGCGGTTTGTGGATAAAATTCCCTTTGCAGATTCGCAACTTGAACATTTTAAGTGAAAACATGGATTGAGTTTGGCTTGCTGATGTGTAATATAATTTTTTTTTGTTTTTTCCCTTTTTCTAATTATTTGGATATAAGTTTTAAAAATATTTTTTTTGTCCTTTTGATCCTTGTTTGGTTGCCCAGAAAATCAAAGAGGAAAAAAAAAAAAAAGGAACAAAGAAGTGAAACTTTGTTGTTTTTGGCAAAGCAGAATCATGGCTTTCTTTGCGTGCTAAACATTCAGTGATCAAACTTCGTTTTAAGGTAAATCACAAACCCCATTTTCGTTTTTCAGAGCTTTTGTTCTTCAAGTCTCTTGATGTCTGATTAACGATTGGAAATTTAGAGATTTTCTTTACTGATATACTTCCCCTGATCAATTTCTCAGTAATGAAGATTGATCCTAGAAATTGAGTCATGTTCAATTTTCAGTTTCATTAGCATCTGAATCAATTTTAGTTTGCAAATTGAGGGTTTTTTTACTACAACCTTGGTGATTAATGAAGCAAAAGAATCTGAAAAATCTTTATGCCATTTGATTGAAACTGAAGTTTCTGGACTGGAAAAAAAAATTGCAATGGATCTGTTGGTCCAACTTATTTCTGGATATTTAGATGTATTTGTCCTTGTCATGATCATCATAAAAAGTTGAACTTTTTATGATAATTTTTTTTTTTTTATGATTATGTTTGATAATTTTTTTTGTTTGCTTTATCTTGTTTTGTGGTTACTCAAGTAGTGCTTATGGATAAGAACTTGGAGTTTTATTTTCCACTAATGATTGTAAAAAGCCAGACTTTTAGCATATGTGATGTTAATTTCTGATCTAAGAAGCAATTGGAATGTGAAAATATATTCACATTATGGTGTTTTTGAAGCAGTAAGCATGAGATTCAAAAAGGGAACTAAAGTCGAAGTACTGATCAAATCATCGGTTCCATCTGGTGCATGGCGATCTGCAGAGATCATATCTGGAAATGGGCATTACTACACTGTCATGTATGATAGTAATGTTGGTACGGTGAGGATACCGAGGAAGAGTATGAGGCCTGAGCCTCCTCCTTTGCAAGTCCTAGATTCTTGGGCTCCTGGTGACATTCTTGAGGTTTTCGAAAGTTGTGCGTGGAAGATGGCAATCGTTTCCAAGGTTTTGGAAAAAGATTGTTACTTGATTAGATTACTCGGTTCCTCACTGAAGGTCAAGGCAACAAAATCCGACATTCGAGTTAGACAATCTTGGCAAGATAATGAGTGGATCATGATCGGACACGTACTTGTTTCTTTCCCCTGTCGAAAATATCTTTCAAAGCCTTTCTGTTTAACTGACATTTTGTTATAACATTTGGCTGAAGGGTACATCGAGATTAAGCTCGCAGACTTCAACAGGAAAATTGAGGAGAAAGGTGAATCTGAAAGGTGGTGATTATATTTCATCTGAGAGCAAAGACAAGCTCAATGAGTCTGATGTTCTTTCGTCAAAAGGTCCAAAGAAACGGACCTACTCTTTGGTTGAACCACACAATCCACCAAAGTTTCTCAAAGGGA